CCTGGCTTGTACCAGTCCTGGCTTGTACCAACCCTGGCTTGTACCAACCCTGGCTTATACCAGTCCTGGCTTGTACCAGTCCTGGCTTGTACCAACCCTGGCTTGTACCAGCCCTGGCTTGTACTAGCTATAGCTTGTAATAGTCCTAGCTTGCACAAGTCCTGGCTTGTACCAGCCCTGGCTTGTACCAGTTCTGGCTTGTACAAGTTCTGGCTTGTACCAGCCCTGGCTTGTACCAGCTCTGGCTTGTACCAGTCCTGGCTTGTACCAACCCTGGCTTGTACCAGCCCTGGCTTGTACCAACCCTGGCTTGTATCAACCCTGGCTTGTACAAGCCCTGGCTTGTACCAACCCTGGCTTGTACCAACCCTGGCTTGTACCAGTCCTGGCTTGTACCAACCCTGGCTTGTACCAGCCCTGGCTTGTACCAACCCTGGCTTGTACCAGTCCTGGCTTGTACCAACCCTGGCTTGTACCACCCCTGGCTTGTACCAACCTGGCTTGTACCAACCCTGGCTTGTACCAGCCTGGCTTGTACCAAACCCTGGCTTGCACAAACCCTGGCTTGTACCAACCCTGGCTTGTACCAGCCCTGGCTTGTACCAACCCTGGCTTGTACCAACCCTGTGCTTGTACCAACCCTGGCTTGTACCAGCCCTGGCTTGTACTAGCTATAGCTTGTAATAGTCCTAGCTTGCAGAAGTTCTGGCTTGTACCAGCCCTGGCTTGTACCAGTTCTGGCTTGTACAAGTTCTGGCTTGTACCAGCCCTGGCTTGTACCAGCTCTGGCTTGTACCAACCCTGGCTTGTACCAACCCTGGCTTGTACCAGCCCTGGCTTGCACAAACCCTGGCTTGTACCAACCCTGGCTTGTACCAGCCCTGGCTTGTACCAACCCTGGCTTGTACCAACCCTGGCTTGTACCAACCCTGGCTTGTACCAGCCCTGGCTTGTACCAACCCTGCTTGTACCAACCCTGGCTTGTACCAACCCTGGCTTGTACCAACCCTGGCTTGTACCAGCCCTGGCTTGTACCAGCCCTGGCCTGTACCAGTCCTGGCTTGTACCAACCCTGGCTTGTACCAGTCCTGGCTTGTACCAGTCCTGCCTTGTACCAGCCCTGGCTTGTACCAGTCCTGGCTTGTACCAATCTTGGCTTGTACCAGCCCTGGCTTGTACCAGTCCTGGCTTGTACCAGCCCTGGCTTGTACCAACCCTGGTTTGTACCAACCCTGACTTGTACCAGCCCTGGCTTGTACCAACCCTGGCTTGTACCAGTCCTGGCTTGTACCAACCCTGGCTTGTATCAACCCTGGCTTGTATCAACCCTGGCTTGTATCAACCCTGGCTTGTACCAACCCTAGCTTGTACCAACCCTGGCTTGTACCAACCCTGGCTTGTACCAACCCTGGCTTGTACCAGCTCTGGCTTGTACCAGCCCTGGCTTGTACCAGTCCTGGCTTGTGCCAACCCTGGCTTGTACCAGTCCTGGCTTGTACCAGTCCTGCCTTGTACCAGCCCTGGCTTGTACCAGTCCTGGCTTGTACCAGTCCTGGCTTGTACCAGCCCTGACTTGTACCAGTCCTGGCTTGTACCAGTCCTGGCTTGTACCAGCCCTGGCTTGTACCAACCCTGGCTTGTGCTAACCCTGGCTTGTACCAGTCCTGGCTTGTACCAACCCTGTCTTGTATCAACCCTGGCTTGTACCAACCCTGGCTTGTACCAATCCTGGTTTGTACCAACCCTGGCTTGTACCAACCCTGGCTTTTATCAACCCTGGCTTGTACCAACCCTGGCTTGTACCAACCCTGGCTTGTACCAGCCCTGGCTTGTACCAGCCCTGGCTTGTACCTACCCTGGCTTGTACCAACCCTGGCTTGTACCTACCCTGGCTTGTACCAACCCTGGCTTGTATCAACCCTGGCTTGTACCAACCCTGGATTGTACCAACCCTTGCTTGTACCAACCCTGGCTTGTACCAGCCCTGGCTTGTACCTACCCTGGCTTGTACCAGCCCTGGCTTGTACCTACCCTGGCTTGTACCAGCCCTGGCTTGTACCTACCCTGGCTTGTACCAGCCTTGGCTTGTACCTACCCTGTCTTGTACCAACCCTGGCTTGTACCAGTCCTGGCTTGTACCAGTCCTGGCTTGTACCAACTCTGGCTTGTACCAACCCTGGATTGTACCAACCCTTGCTTGTACCAACCCTGGCTTGTACCTACCCTGGCTTGTATCAACCCTGGCTTGTATCAACCCTGGCTTGTACCAGCCCTGGTTTGTACCAACCCTGGCTTGTACCAACCCTGGCTTGTACCAACCCTGGCTTGTACCAACCCTGGCTTGTACCAGCACTGGCTTGTACCAACTCTGGCTTGTACCAACCCTGGCTTGTAACAACCCTGGCTTGTACCAGCCCTGGCTTGTACCAACCCTGGCTTGTACCAACCCTGGCTTGTACCAGCCCTGGCTTGTACCTACCCTGGCTTGTACCAACCCTGG